ATTGGCAAAAATTAAACCTGTAGAAATTGATGGAATACCAACTGACATGCTCCAACAAACAGATGCAGCCCTGGACATGCTCACCAGACTGTGACAAGAAATCTGGAAGACAGTTACCTGGCTAACTGACTAGAAGAGATCCATATTTGTTCCCACTCCCAAGAAAGGTGATTCAACAGAATGTAAAAATTATCAATTTCATTAATATCACATGCAGGCAAAATATTGCTGAATGTTATTTTTAAATGGCTAGAACAGTAATACAGAAAATTGCCAGATATTGAAGTTGGATTTAGGAGTCATGGTGTCAGAGATATCATTGTTGATGTCAGATGGATTTTAACTGAAAGCAAAGAATATCATTAGGATTTATTTGTATTTTACTGACCATGCAAAAGCATTTGTGTGGTTCACAACAAATTATGGCTGGACATTGACAGGATGGGAATTCCAGAACACTTCATTGTGCTCATCCTAAACCAACTTAGACCAAAAGGCTTTTTTTTCTGAATAGAGCAAGGGAACACTACATGGTTTAAAATCAGAAAATATATGCATCAGGGTTGTAATCTTAATCCATATCTATTCAATCTCTATGTTGAGAAAGTCATTCAAGAAGCTGGACTTTATGAAGAAAAATGTGGCATCAAGATTGGAGGAAGACTCATCAATAACCTACACTATGCAGAAGGCAAAGGCTTGCTTGCTGAAAGTTAGAAGGACTTTAACCACTTGCTGCAGAAGTTCAAAGGACTTAAGTCACTTGCTGCAGAAGATCAGACTGCACACTTCAATGGGATTACATTTTAACATCAAAAGGTAAAAATCCTCACCTTTGGGACAATAGGCAACATCATTATAAAGGAGAAAAGCTTGAAATTGTCAATGATTTTTTTTATCTTGCTTGCATCTGTAATGGACACCCTTGGTACTAGCAGTTAAAAAAATAAAAAGATATGTTGCATTGGAAAAATCTGCTTTCAGGGACCTCTTGAAAAGGCCAAAGAGCAATGATAACAGTTTAAAGACTAAGGTGTACCTGATCCAAGTGATGATCTTTTCAGTTACTTGCTGGGCTTCTGAAAGTTGGACAGTGAATAAGGATGATAGGAGAATCAATGCCTTTGAGTTGTGGCGATAGAGAAAAGTACTGAATATCCCATGGACTGCCAAAAGAACAAAAAATAATGTCCTGGAGGAGGTGTATGTAACAAAGGTGCTCCTTAGAGGCAAGGATGGTGAAACTTCATCTCACACACTTTGTGTGTGATGTTGGGAGGGGGGGCTAGTCCTTGGACATTAGTCTTGGAAAGGTGGAAAGTCAATGAAAGAGAAGAAGCTCCTCAATGGGATCAGTTGACACAGTGATTAACAACGGGCATCAGAGGTGAGGATAACACAGGACAAGGTTTAGATTCATTGTTCCTCGGTTGCTATGAGTTGCCTAGTTGGTATTCCTCAAAGTAGGATGCAGAAGACTGTCTTTGTGGGCTACATTATGCCTGTTGGTCTTGATGTCCCTGAGGGTTTATGTCTCCTTTCATTCCTGATGAGAGATCTGGTGGTGCAGTGCATAGGGTGGCACACAGCTAACCTGGAGGCATCACTGCCCTCATGGTTGGAATCCACTGGAGAAGGATGACCATCTCCTCCAGTGTGTTTGACAACCTTGGGAGCCCACTGCAGTCTCGGCGTTCAGTTATGCACCAACTTCAACCTGACAACAGTGAGAGTGAGTCCAAGTTTCATTCTCTTATCTTTCATATCCATGTGTTCTGTGAACATTTAGTCCATATGATATCATAGGCATTGTTCTGAGCAATGGCAATATAAAAATGGACACATTATTTAATATCCAATTTCACTCCAAAGAGAATTTTAAATGAACCAAAATAAGACAGTGCTCCTACCCTCATCGAATTCACAATTTGGTGAAGATATTTCTACAAATAATGTCAATGTAGTAAATACTTGCTAATATAAACACTAGTATTTTCCTACGATCTCAGTATTAATGATCAAGTAAATGAGGTGATTAAGTAAAGGAGTGATAGAGAATATGATAAGACACAAAGTAGCAGGTCATGCAATTTGTGTGGCTAAGAAAAAAGGTAGAGTTGGAGTATAGAGTACAAAGGGAAGAGGTTGAAAATACAGGCCAAAGCCCTTTTTCTTAGACTACTGTCTCGTTACTTGTTGAAAAATCTTAAATAACATGTGATTTGTTTTCAGAAGAGAAGCAGAGAAGGGACTTTAGAAGGAAGAGGTCCAGAAAAATCTCAAGTGGTTGCAGCAATGTTAAAAACGAGTCCAGTCCCTAAGGAAAGACCTACTTTTGAAGACAGACCAGGAGGTCAATTTGCAGTGGGCTCTAACAAAATGCAAGATGTGATCTTCAAAAGGCCTATAAGGCAGACCATAATTACCTCAGAGACACTGAAGAAAATTCAGACAGATAGGTAAATAAGGGAAGCATGTTTGGTACTTGATAGTGTTTTTCTAAGTGGATTAGAGACTGGGTGCAAAGGTGGCACACTAGCTAACTTGTGGAGGTTGTTACATGCTGTCGAGACAGAACCGACTCCTGACTGATGCCCCACTGGGTTTTCAGGAGCATGGGAGGAGAGTGTCCATTTTTCTCCTGTGGAGCAATTAGTGGATTTGCACCATGTGCCTTTGAGATAGCAGTACAGCCCCTTATGTCTAAGCCACCAGAGCTCCTTGTCTTATAGGTTAGTCATTCTATTAAAAGTAACTGCTGCTGCTAAAAGGATTCAAGATTGCCAAGAGGCACTGTGGTACAACTGAGAATGTTGTTATTATGTGAGGTAATGTGGGAAGGGACTCATAGCTGATCCCTCCAGCAGGTTTTCAGTGGCAATAAATTGAACAGGAGGAGACTGCCCAGCCTTCTGCAGGGAATCCAGCAGATTCCAACCGTGTGCCTTTGGGATTGCAGCTCAGCTTCTTACCACTAGGCCACCAGAGCTCCCTACAGTTAAAAGTAAGGTGACTTATTTGATCTTAGAGTAGTAAGTCATTGAGCCTTTCTCTTTTTAAAAATAGGAGTAATGGTATTAACCTTTCAACATTAGTGTGTGGATTACAAATAAGCCTGGCACAAATTGGTAGCTATCGTGATGCTTTATAAGACATCAAACTAAACAAAACTTTTATGTGATGGCTCCTCAGACTTCTATGTGTGCATGTTCCATGGAGATTTCAAGAGCTGAATTTTCAGAAGAAATAGATTGCCAGGTCTTTCTCCTGAGGTACATGTGGGTAGACTAAAATTTCTATGCTTTAAAATAGCAGCCAACATGTTAGCCATTTGTAGCGCATTAAGTGAAAAACCAAACCTGTTGTCATTAAGTCATTTCCAGCTCCGGTGCTAAAACCCAATTGCAGTGCAGTAAACCACTACAGACACTGTCAAAGCAGCCACGTTTCAAGTGCTTTACTCTTGAGGATTAAAATGAGGCAGTCTCAATTACTATTTCCTCATTATTCAGATTTGTTGTCAGCTGGCTTGCTAACAAGGAATTTGTTGTATTTGGGTTTTTTTAAAATTTGTTATGTTGAAAAGAGAGTCTTAAAATGTAAAAACTTGGAAAATGAGAGCCAGTAACAATTACCTAGGGCCACTGGGGTAAAAACTGGTTTGAAGTCTGGTTTTGAAAGTAAGGTTTTATTGGAATTCAGCATTATTAATGCATTTATGCATTGTCTCTTCTTACTTTTGTAGAACAACAGAGTTACATAGTTGCAACAGAGACCTTATGCTCTGAAAACCCCAAAATATTTACTATATATAAAGCTTTTACAGAGAAAGTTTGCTGAACCTTCCAATAGATTCTGACAAGAAGGATAATATCTCTTGCTAAAACCAATCTGGCCCCGATTTGTATCGATGATAGTCTAGTCAATGTCCTTTTCATTCTCATTGTGATGGTTTCTGTCTTTTCCTGAGAGATTAAAAATGTAAAGCAAAGATTATTTTTAGGAGCTTAGTTTTAGATTTATGTCCCACATAAAACCTGGTTATGAAACCCAAGGTTATATAAGATCATGAAGTGTGTACATCTCTACAAATTATCCAGAGTCAGAGTAAGAAGGTCAAAATTTCAAAGGCATACAACAGTTTATGAAGTTAAGAGTGGAATTTGTAGCAAGATTATATCAATTCTAGTCCTCGTTATTTATTATAACCTTATTGCCTGGCATGAAACATTTAATATTCTTTTATCCTAATCTGCTACACAGGATATGCATTCTTTTTTTGTTTTGTTTTTTAATTTTATTTATTTTATTATTTTTGTGTGAATGTACCGTCAAATCAGATCTGACTGGTACAGGAGGAGATTGTCCCTCCCTCAAATCTGGTGGATTCGAACCGTGTGCCTCTGGGATTGTAGTTGCAGCTCCTTGCCACTAGGCCACCAGAGCTCCCCCCTTTTATAAAATTTTTATAATTTTTTGTGTGAGTGTACCGTCAAATCAGATCTGACTGGTACAGGAGAGATTGTCCCTCCTTCCCAGGCAGAGCATCTGGTGGATTTGAACCATGCGCCTCTGGGATTGTAGTTGCAGCTCCTTGCCACTAGGAACTCCCCAGGATATGCATTCTTATTGTTAAAATTCTTACATATTTCAGTCTCTTAACTTCAATGCCCTTAATTTTTTCTTGAAAAAAGTTGTGTGAAATAGCAAAATGTTTCAAAATGTCAAACAGCAGTTTTTAAAATTCCTCACCAAGGAGGCATCAGTTATTAGAAAGAGCAATAGAGGCGACTCTGGTGGCAAGAAGCTGCACTGTAATCCAAGAGGATTTTAAGAAGTAAAATATTAGGGAGCTCTAGTGGCCTACTGGCAAGAACCTGCACTGCGGTTCAAATCCACCAGAAGCTCCCCTGGAGAAGGAGGGGCAATCTCCTCCTCCGCCAGTTGGATCCAATTCAATGGTACACAACAAGAAAAGAAAGAAGGGGGGGAAAAGTAAAAGATTTGAGATACAATCAATTCCTCCAATCTCAATTCCTTTAGTATTCCTCCAGAGATAACCATGCTTTTGAATTTAATATTTATCATTCTCTTGCATATTGTAATACTCTTGTAATTATATGTTTTAAGTAATCCATAATATTATTGTATATGTCTTTAAATGTTGTATACAAGGTATCATAATATATGTTTGATGTTTATTGGTTAGATAGGTAAACTTTTTCAGCATAAGAAAATTCTCTTATTAGTTTGCTTAGAATTTTTGGGCCATTTGTTTTAAAATGGTAAGTGATGGATGAATTTTGCCATTTGCTTTTTCAACATCTGCATATGGTTCTTCTCCTTCAGCATGCAGAGGTGGTTAGTAATACTAACAGATTTCTGGTGCTATTCTTGCATTCCTAGGATGATACCTGTTTAGTTTTGGTTTCCCTTCTGAGTGTTAACGTGTGCAACTTCAGCAGTTGTTTATGGCTATGGGAAAACACATCTTACTAACTCAGCTCTTTTCTTTTTCATCACAGGCAATTTTTCAGTGACGTCATCTCAGAAACCATGCAGGAGTTGGAAGATTCAGGCACTTTCAACACTCTTTTGAAAACCTTGAGCAAAGAGAGGGAAAACAAAATGCATTTCTATGATATCATTGCTAGGTCAGTTTAGCAATAGGCTTATTTGCTTTCCTGTATTTTAAAATGTTTATAAATTGAGACTACTTAAGTTCATGATTTCAAAAATAAACCAAGAATATATAGTTCTAGCAACTTCCCTACATAGGTATCCAAGGTATAAAAAGGGAGGTTCTAATCCTAGGCCTGTTGAGACATTGATCAGATTTCTGAGCTTCGCTGTCTGTCTCTACAATATGGTAAGAATGCAAGACAAACCCCAAGTGAAGCAGAAGGAAAAGTTGAGTGGAAGCATCTTAGATTATCATGCAGCCTAAATAGGGACCAGCAAGGTCCTTTCGCCAAAATTGACCATCTGGGGAGACTTGGATGTTCCAGATTTACCAGAGTTTGCCTTAGTATCTCTGCCACACCCAGTAATTAGCTGGGAGCAGCCTATAGAAAATGATGGATTTCATAGGCCAGCAGCTGGGACCTTGTTCACGTCCCTCCACTTAGTTGAAGATCAGTGAGGCATATTTTCATCTGTGCCTCAGCAAGTTACCTAAGCTCACTTTTTCTCAGCAGCAACAGCTATTTTAAATGTAACACTGATGTTGCTGTTGTTGTTATCTGCTGTCGAGTTGCTTGCGACTCATAGTGACCTCATGTACAACAGCCCTGAAACCTGCTCTATCCTAACAATCTTATAGTTTCTGACACACCTACCTTTATTACCCCAGTCACTGAATCAGTCCATCTCATTGAGGATCTTCCTCTCTTGCACTGTCCCTCCACCCTTACAAGCATGATGTCCCTCTCCAAGAACTTGCCCTTCCTTGCAGTATGCCCTAGGAATGTCAGATGAAGCCTAAGAATCCTTGCCTCCAAGGTGCAGCCTAGTTTCGCCTTCTCTAGGGTGAACCTATTTGTTCTCCTAGAAGTCCATGGTATATTCAATACTCCCGCACCATAGCTCAAAGGAAAGGCACCAATTCTCTATCATCCCTAGTCCTAAATTTCTGGCACATAGCAAGTAATTGTGAAGACTATGGCCTGGAACAAGCTCACCTTAGTCTCCAGACTGACATCGTTGCTCATCAGTACTCTGGAAAGGTCCCTGACAGCAGGGTGTCCACCAGGGATGTGTCCTATCTCCATATGTTTTCTATCTATATGCAGAACAGTTCTTTGGGGATAACGGGGTCTTTGAGGAGAAGTGTGGCTTCAGGATTTGGAGGAAAACTTATTAACAACCTACAATATGCAGATAACACAACCTTGCTTGTTGAAGCTGAGGAGGACCTGGAGCACTTGCTGCATAAAGTCAAGGACTGCAGTCTTTAATATGGATTGAAGCTCAATATCAAGAAAACAAAAATTCTCACCACTGGGTCAACTGGCAGCATCATGATAGACAGTGAAGAGATTGAGATTAACAGCTTTAGTTTTTTTGGCTCCACAATCAACACTCTTGGCACCAACAGCCAGGAAATCAGAATACTAATTGCATTGGGAAATCAACATTGATAAGCCAGAAAAAGAATTCCAAAATACTAAAACAAATTCTAGGTTTTTTTCTACATAAGTGCTACTGAAAGTGTGTTCCACAAACTACCACTGGTAGCATCCCTTAGAAATTTGTTAAAGATGCAGGTTCCTGGGCCCCATCCAGACATACTGAATAGAATCTCATGAGCTGGAGCCCAGAAATCTGTTTAGTTTGGTATTTGGGGTTTTGGTGTTTGGTTTTTTTTTTTTAATTTCCACATGATCCACTGCCCTTAACAAATTCTTATTTCCTTTAGTGAGGAGAAAGGCAGGAAACAGATAAAATCTCTTCAAAACCAGCTACTTGATGTAAAAAAAGAACGGCAAGTTGAAGTGCAGGTAAGAATTATTTTAGGTAAGCAAAGCAACAAAAAGTTCTAAAGAAAAGTTATGTGGGAAAGGTTATTATTTTCCCGGGATGTGTTTTTATTGTTGCAAATGTTGTTTTTGGTGGTGGTAGGTGCCATAGAGTTGAGTATGACTAATAGTGAACCTGAGAACAACAGACCTAAACCCTGTTCTATCCAGTGCCATCCTCATCTTCTTGGACACACTTGAGCCCATTGTTTCGGCCAGTCTGTCAATCCATATGGTTGAGGGTCGTCTTCTCTCCCACTGACCCTCCATCAAGCACCTAGCAACATGTCCAAAGTATATGAAATGAAGCTTTGCCTTCTTTTCCTCCAACAAGCTCTCTGGCTGCAATTTTCCAAAGACATATCTGTTTATTCTTTTGGCTATCCATGTAATCACCTCCAACACCACAGTGCAAAGACATCATTTCTTCTTTTCTCATCCTTATTCATTGCCCAGCTCTCAGATGAATAACAAGACCATGCATAAAAGATCATGGCTTGAATCAGGTACACCTTAGTCTTCAAACTGACACCATTGCTCCTTCAGTGATTTGGAGAAATCCACTGGGTGGTGGACTTTACCAATGCTGTACATCTCCTGATCTCCCGACTGTTGGTATGAAGGGTATTGATTGTGGGTACAAGTAAGATGGAATCCTTAACAATTTCAAACTTTTTTGCATCTATTTTTGGTCCAGTTGTGAGGATTTTCTTGATGTTGAGATGCAATCCATATTGAAGACAGTAGTCTTTGATCGTCTACAGCAAGTGCTTAAAGTTCTCACTTTCAGAAAGCTGGGTTAGGGAGCTCCAGTGTCTTAGTGGTAAGAAGTTGCATTGGCAACCCAAAGGCATGTAGTTCTAATCCACTAGCTGCTGCAAGTGAGAAAGATGGGCAGAAAGCAGGGTTGTGTCATCTGCATAACACGGACTGTTGATGAGTCCTCCTCCAATTCTGATGCCACATTCTTCTTCATAGAGCCCAGCTTCTAGAATGATTTGTTCAAAATATATATTGAATAAGTCTGGAGAAAGGATGCAAGCCGGACACACACCTTTCCTAATTTTAAACCATTCAGTGCTCTCTTGCTGTGTTCAGACAACAGCTTCTGGATCTAGATAAAGGTTTTACATGAGTACAATTAAGTGTTCTGGGATTACCATTCTTCTCAATGTGAGTCATAGTTTGTTATGAGTCACACAGTGGAATACCTTTGCACAGTCAATAAAACACAAATAAACATTCCTCTGGTATTTCCTGCTCTCTGTCAGGATCCATCTGACATCAGCAATGATATCCTTGGTGCTACGGCCTCTCTAAACCCAGCTTGAACTTACAGCAGTTGTCTGTCAATGTACTGTTCTAGCTGTTTTGGGATGATCTTCAGTAATATTTTGCTTGCATGTGATTTTAATTACATTGTTCAGTAATTTCCACATGCTGTGGGATCACCTTTAATGGGAATGGAAACAAATATTTTTTCCCCCAGTCGCCAAGCAACTGTGTGATGTCAGAAAACCTTGAAAATTGGCTTTTCTATCCATTGTGCTAGTCTCCATTGGAGTCATGGTTTCGAACTACCTTAACTGTGGACATACGTGGGAACAATATAAGAGAGAGATTTCCACACTATGAGGAAAAGGTGGAGAAAAGGTGAAGAGACTGTGGCACTTCTGTGAAAGGATTGTGGCAAGGTGTAACTTTGGAAGTGGAGCCATAGTTAAAGGTTTTGCTTCAGTTGAAGCCTCACAGGAGCCTAGAGGGGTCTCCTGGGCTAGGGATGTTGTCCTTGCCAATCTGGAGTTTAGATGCAGGCAGGGTTAGGGCAGGTTGACTTGAGTGAAGAGACAGTCCCTGCCAAGCTGAGGTGACCAAGGATGGTGCACTCAAAGTAGGGCGCACTGCTCCCAAGGTGGTTGTGGCTTGTGGTGAGCTTAGATAGCGCCAAGCATGTCCAGTGCAAGGTAAGGATCTAATTTAGAATTGTCATGCGAAGCCTCAGTAAAATTTCCCTAATTCTTGGGGGAGGGGAAAATTACTTAAATATTTTTGCTTCCTTTTAACTATATCTCTTTTACTAGACGGAAAGCTTTTTGAGGTATGTGTGTTTAGCTCTCCCTGCCTACCTGGTGTGGAATGCTCAAAGCCTGGTGCTGAACAAATGGTAAAACATTTGCTCATAAAATCTTTTACTATTTGTTCAGCACAAGATTATTGAGACCTTAAAATTGCGGAGCACTTTGTGACTTTCAGAGAGTTTTCATGTGTTCTCAGTGAATCCTTATGATCACTCTCCACTATTTCAGGCAGAGTAGCTGTTCCTGTATCTATTTTATAAAAGATGAGACTTGGGAGGTTAAATGACATGGGCAAGTCACACAACTGGTGAGGCTTGGAAGTTAGGTCTTCTTATGTAGATGAGGCAGTATTAGGAATCTGTGTTGTGGAGAGTCCCTAAATAGAGTGCAGACAGGTTCCCACAATCCTGAGTCTTAGAACTACTTTATTTTTCATGTCTATGTGTGCTATCCACAATCAAAGAAGCCCAGTGCAGTGTGCTGTGTAAGGGACTGCTAACCTCAGGGCAGTGTTTCCCTTCCACCAGCTGCAGTGCGGGAGAAGTGAGGCAGTCTGTTCCACGTCAGATTTACGGCCTCAGAAAGCTGATGGGGAGCCTGCTCTGAGCCAGAATCGACTTGATGGCACTGGGTTTGGTTTTGATTACATTTTCTACAGTATGACAATCATTATGCTTTATTTGCAGATGACAGGGGGGAGAAATGACCCAATTCCTTGTTGATTTATAAATACAAAAAGTGAGCATAAGCTCACTATTCAAACTGGGAAAGGGCAAATATTGAAAATTTTGAAACCTGATCTTTCATCCATAGAGTCGAAATGATTATATTGCTCACCTCAAGGACCAGTTGCAGGAGATAAAGGCAAAAACCAACATGGAGAGTCGTTATATGAAGAAAAACACTGACCTACAGATTGCCCAAACCCAAAAAAAGTGTAACAAAGCCGAAGAACAGCTGCTGGATGAGATTGAGGTAATTACTGACGCTTCAGGAAAGGGCTGGGCAATGGGATAAGGATGGCCACTTGTAGTGACACAGCTAATGACAGAGGAAAGGAGTTCTGAGGGCATAGTCTGCAGTGTACTGTGCTGACATCTACAAGGCAGTCCAAATCCTCCAGTGACTCTGAGGGGAAAGGTGGGCAATCTCCTCTTGTTAAAACTTATGGAGGACCACAGTGACAATAAACAGAGGGCCTGGTTGTTGTTGCAGGTGGTATCAAATCAAGAGCAACTCATAGTGACCCTGTGAACAACAGATCTGAGCCCTGTTCTATCGTTAGCATGTCTGACATACTTGAGCCCATTGAAACAGTCACTGTGTCAGTCTATTTCAATGAGGGTTTTTCTCTTTGCTTACCCTCCACCTTTCCAAGCATGACATCCCTCTCCAAGGAGTAGCCTCTCATAACAACATGCCTAAAGTATGTGAGATGAAGTTTCACCATTCTTGCCTCCAAGGAGCACTCTGGTTGCACATTTCCCAAGACATAATTGTTTCTCTTGGCAGTCCATGGGATATTCAGTATTCTCTTAATACCACAACTCAAAGGTATCAGTCCTTCTGTCATTACAATTCATTGTCCAACTCTCAGATGCATAGCAGGTGATTGAAAAGACTATGGTTTGAATTAGGCACACCTTGGTCTTCAACTGACATCACTGCTCCTTGCTAATTTGGAGAGTTTTCTGACAGTAGACTTTGCCAATGCAATACGTCTTCTGATCTCTGCTGGCTTCAAGGTTGTTGATTTTGCATTCAAGTAACATGAAATTATTGACAACCTCAATCTTTCTCTAGTGTAGTATTGTTTATTGACCCAGGGGTGAGGATTTTTGTTTTCTTGATATTGGAATGTAATCCATATTGAAGGGTATATAGTCTTTGATCTTCTGCAATAAGCACCTCAGGTCCTCCTCACTTTTACAAGCAAGGTTGTGTCATCTGCATAATGTAGGTTGTTAATGAGCCTCACTCCAATCCTGTTGCCACACTCTTTTTCATGAAGTCTAGCCTCTTGAATTATGTATTCAGCAAGTAGATTGAATAGAGATGGAGTAAGGATAGAGCCCAAATGCACACCTTCCTGTATTTTAAACCATGAAATGTTCCTCTGCTCTCGTCTTCTTCCAGATCTAGGCTTTCCAGGAGCACAATTAAGTGTTCTGTGATTGTTGTTCTTCTCAGTGTTAATCATAGTTTATTATAATTCACACAGCCAAATGCCTTTGCATAGTCAAGAAAACACAAGTATACATCCTTTGCATAGTCTCTACTTTCAGTCAAAATCCATTCAACATCAGCAATGATAACCCTTATGCCATGGCTCTTCTAAATCCAGCCTGAATTTCTGGCTAATCTCTGTTAATGTACAACAGTTCTACCTGAGAGGGCTTCATTTCATTTAAACCCAAATCAATACTGAGGAGACATCATAGTGAAAATTATCAGGAGAAAGAAGCAAAGGGTAGACCTGCAGTAGACTAAAAGATCAAAAGAATAGGCAAATGAGAAAAAGGGAATGTTACCCTCCAATAAAGGATGGTCCTCAGGTAGGTAATAACATTAGAGATTGTGTCACCTGTGTCACTTCATTCTCTGAGATCTCTGTTTCTTTGAAAGCTTATACTGCAGATGAGTTTTAGACAATGACACCGAAGTTTTTTCTTGCATGTTTGAGTTTTTTTCCCTAGGCCTAAGAAATTTATCTCCATGAGACATCACTTCTTTCCATAAATTGGCATCCCTTTTGAGGGAATACATAGCTTGTATCCACCACACACATGGCTCAGCAATGCTAGTTAACACAGACTGATCAGAACTGATAGAGATCACTGGTCTGGAAGATTATCTTGGAATAATGAATGTTCCATTGGTAAAGAAAATCTGTGTGATGTCACAGTTTATCTCACTATATAAGTTTCTGTGTTTAGCTTATTTCTTATCTTGAGACCTTCTGATCCCCAGCACTGAGTAGAGAGAACTCCTGAGATTTGTCCTTTATTTTTACAGAAGCTGAGGATGAAAACTGAGGAAGAGAACCGGATTCATATAGAGATCGAAACGTTCCTCAAGAAGGAGCAGCAGGTAGGTGACCAAGACTTTTATCTCCTTACTTATAAAATCCAAAAGCAGAAAAAAATTAAAGAAAAGTCAACCACAATTCTGCTAGCCTAAAGCTGACCATGTTTCCATTGAGATTCATCTATGTGAATAAATATTTCATATCTATTATTTCAATGCAGGTAAAATTTTGGTTTTCTATCTTCAAAAGTTAACATTATCAGAAACTGTTTCCTTATTCTTATATTGCTTCATAGTAATAATTATTTTTCAATTTTTTTGCGACATAATTTAGAATATTTATTTTTTTAAATATATATTAAAAGGCTTCTAAAAAATTTCCATTCATTCATTGTTGTACTTTTTTCCCCTCCCAACCCTCTTCCCCAGTACACTACCCTCTTAGAAAAGTAAAAGAAAGATTCTTTCATTCTTTTACAATCCCTCCCCCCAGGTCCACTCCACTATGCAGCCTTCGCTCTGGACTCCTTTCATGACAAAAATACCTAATCACATATCTCTTTTAAACAGTTTTCTCCCTCATCTGTTTCAATGCAGTATACATGATTGAACTCATCTTTCTCAGTCCCCACCCCAACCCCAAGGTCATTCCTGTTTTACAACAGTGGCATCATGCCATATTTGTCATTTTGTGACTGAGATACTTCACTCAGCATAATGTCTTCCAGGGTCACCCATTTTGCATAATATTACATGAGTTCCTTGTTTTTCAATGCAGCATAGTATTCCATTGTGTGAATATACCACAGCGTCTCTATCCATTTGTTTGTTGATGGGCACTTAGGTTGTTTCCAACTCCTTGCTATTGTGAACAAAGCCATGATAAACATGTGTGTGCATATATCTACTTGGGTGTCAGTATTTTTTTTTAATGTTTATTGATATTTTAATGTTGCTGCTGGTTACTTTGGTCCGTCCTGCTTTTTATGACACCTCTGTAAGAAGGATGTCTCTCCGTGTTTCCTGCAATGCTGGTGTTGTTTTTACAAACTCCCTTAGGTTCTGCTTTTCTGAGAATATCTTCATTTCTCCTTCATATTTTGATGGACAGTTTTGCTGGGTACAATATTCTTGGTTGACAGTTGTACTGTCTTCTAGCTTGCATGGTTTCTTCTGAGAAATTGGCACTCAATCTTATTTGCTCTCCCTTAGAGGTTAGTGTTTGTTTCTCCCTAGATGCTTTCAGAATTCTTTCCTTATCTTTGGTTCTGGCAGATTTGGCTGTGGTATTTTTCTTTTGGGGTCTTTTCCATGTGATGTTCTCTCAGCTTCTTGAATATATATTCTCTTGTTCTTTATAGCTCTTGGAAAATTTTCTTCTTGTAATTTTCCCACAACTTTCTTGGTGTCTCTTCTTGCTTCTTCCTGTTCTGGGATTCTGATTATGCACATGTTATTCCTCTTGATGGTGTCTCACATTATTCTTAGGGTTTCCCCCCCTTCCTTTTTGATTCTGCTTTTTGTTCTAGCAGATCAGTGGTGACAATTCTATCTATTTCGTTGGATCTGTGTTCTGTCTCTTCAACTCTGTTCATATGTCCTTCCGACATATTGACAACATCTGAAACATTGGTCCTCATATTCTGGATTATGGTTTCTTGTTTTTCCAGAGCCTCTAATGCCTCATTTGTTTTATCTGCATTGTCTTGGATTGTTTAAGTTCTTGGTTTTTGCCTATAGAGTCTTGTAATTCTTTGAGTTTGTCTTTTACCCATTGAAAATATTCAACCATTGTTGTTTCGAATTCTGTGTCAGAAAGTTCCATCAGATTTTCTGGCTTCAGGAAATCCATTGATACTGTGTCAATTTTTTTTTGGGGGGGTGACATCTTTTTTGGGTTTGTGTAGGGTGTGAGGTAGTCTGCTTCTTCTGTGACATTGCTGTGGTAGAGTTTTTCATACTTGTGTAGGGTGTGAGGTAGTCTGCTTCTTCTGTGACATTGCTGTGGTAGAGTTTTTCATACTTGAGGCTTCATCAGGCTCTTGGTCTGAAAACCTTGGCTCAGGAAGTCACTGCTCCAGGGGAGGGCAGGGAAACTACCCTGCCTGAGTTTCTTTCTGAGCTTTTGACTCAAGGGAAGACTTGCTTCAGTTGGGGAGAGATATGGCCTGTGAGGTCTGCTTTGTCAGGCAACTGCTGAGCTAGTCTAGGCAGGTCTAAGGTGTCCATGGCTAAAGGCAGCTCAAGCTCTGAGAGGGAAGAAATGGGATTACCTGTGATATTGCTTTCTCTGGCAAAACAGTTCAGGGGGCAACAGTGGGTCATCCTCCAAGTGCTGTGGTGTCCAGGCATAAGGACCAGGTACTCCAGGCTGCAGGGCTGGGCTTCCAGGCAGCAGGTAGGAGCATCCCAGCAGTGAGGCTGCTGGAGCATGGCCTCCCGGCAGTGGGGCTGGGGCATCCAAGTGGTCAGTGGGAGCCTCCAGGCAGTGGATTCAGGTCCTCTAGGTGGTGGGTTCATGAGTCCACGTGGTGGGGCTGGGGCTACCAGGTGGAGGTGCTAAGGCCTCCAGGCAGAGGGGCCAGGGGCATCCAGGCAACGGGGCCTTGGTCTAGTGCTCCAGGTAGGAGAGCAGACCAGGACACACTAAGAACTTTTTAATACAGGAACTTAGTTAATTGACTGGAACAGATCCATGGCTGTTTCTGATGCGTGTGGTGGTGGAAGTTGCTGACAATGTGTGCGGCCCATATTAATAATTCTAAAAGCATCATTATTGTCTTTTTATTATAAAGCACAGCTGGAGCCTTTCAAAATATCTTTGTTGGATAAATAAGGAAAAGAAAAATGCAAATTAGTTTTAATACTGACCAGAGTTGCTATAAGTCACAGGTGACTTGACGGCACCTAATAATAACAACAACAACAGAGTCTGGTGCCTAGTGGGTAAGGAGTTGCACTACTAACTTAAAGGCAGGCAAAAAAAAAAAAAAAAAGAGAAAGAAAAAACAAAAAAAAAAACAAACTTAAAGGCAGGCAGTTGAATTCCAACAACTGTTCCATGGAAGAAATATGAGCAATCTCCTCTCGTGCAATTTACAACCTCTGAAAACCTGACACAGGGTCAGCCCTGAGTTTATTCTGACTTGATAGCAATGAGTTGTTTGATGTTGTAGCCTTTGAAAAAAGTTAACCACTTCCCAGTAAACAATTTCAAAATTTGAGGTAAGAACTTCTAAATGTGATTTTATAGGTCTTCACTGGAAAAAAAAAACCCCAAAACAACCTGGTAGGATATTTGAATCAGTGAGTTGTACCCCTGAATTTTAAGATCTGTGCAGCATATCATCTGTTCCAAGTAAAAGACACATAGCTGATTATCAGTAATAATCGGATGTGTCAGTAGATAAATGTGTGATAAAGGGATGATGGATAGATAAAATGTTTGCTGTCAGAGTCTTAACACATTGCAACACACTTTTAAATTGACGACCATGCTTAGAAACACATTTTTTTATGTATTACTGAATAATTAACAAATAAATGCATTAGTACACTTCGTACAAATGATGTTCTTTTTTAATTAAAATGTGTAGGACCGCAATAGCCGTCATTTACAGCAACATGCTAACCACACCTTTCTCTAAGCATTCATAGATGCATAGGCCTCAGAGAAAGACATCCCATGTGTGACACGTTGTATGTCACATGTAGGAGACACACTCTGAATTAATAAAGTCAGTATTTTCAAGGTCTTCAGACACAAGCAATCACAAATTTTTAAACTTTGAAAATTTTTTTGAGATTTGTGTGAACGTTTACAGAGCAAATTAGGTTTTCCATTCCACAATTTAGACATTCCCCCCCACCACCACCACCACCCAATTCCCACAGTATATGGCAGTCCTCACAAAGAGCCTTCTTCCCACCCCTGCCTTGGCCTGCTTCCATTCACCTTTTTTCCTATCCCTCCTGCCTTAAGCTATATCCCAGAGAAAGGGCTGCATTTCTGTGGACAGAGTGCACTTCTACCTCGAGTTACTGTTAGCTCACAGCCCTGTCTGTTGTTTGATAGTTGAGCCATGATGGGGAGCTGCAGGCTTGAAAACTGTCTAAGGACATAGCCCCAGGGGTTCCACCAGTTTCTATCCAGCCAGTAAAAGAAAGGTATCTCTGTGAATTTTGTGTTTTGCTCAACACTTTCCCTGTATTCTGACCAGGACCGCCTATTGTGATACTTTCCAGAGTGGTCAGCGTGGTAACCAATCACCATCTAATTCTTGTGTAGGGTTGTGGAGGTTGGAGTTTGTGGTTCATTAGTTCCATGCATTTTTAGATTTATTCTTCTTGTTTCCAAATGAAGAGACTTCAATAGTTTCACCTCTGGTGGTAGCTTACATACTTTTTAAATTAAAATTTCAAATGTTATTTATATTTCTGTAGAGAAATATACAGATTGAAAATAGTGAATGGCCCACTAACTACCTCCCTTTTTAAAGGCCAGTGGAGATGGTAAATCCATCAGTCTGGCACGCTCTCTCATTTAAGTGTGGCAGTTATCTCTTCAACTTTGCACCAAGTGCAAGGCCTGCTTTTAAGACCTCAGCATGTACTCAAGTAGTCGAATGGTGTCATACCAGACAGTAAAACTGAGAGGGAATCAAGGGAGAGTTTTCCCAGATTCTGAGTCTAGGAGGTACCTCAAGACTTCTCACAAATGCAACAATTGGAATCTTCCAACTGGTAAATATTTAGGCACATTCTAAAAAGATGTGTACAAAAGGGAGCAGAGTCAAGGGAAGAAAAGTTAGAGTAAGAAACATGAAGGCCAGGGTGTGTCTTCTCTGTCACAAGCTACCAGAGGGTGTCAAACAACAAAATTTTAGAAAAATAAAAGACTTATGCCATCACTTATCCACCCCCTATGTCTTGGGATATTTGCCTTCTTGTCTGGGGATTCAGACCTGTCAGTGGGCTGCCCTTTGCCTCTTGAGGATTTGAATCTCCTTAGAGATGGAGAGCACCCCCAGGTGAGGGGAGTTCTTAGGTCTCTGTTGTGCACA